CCGTTACCAAAAAAACAATACATTTTCTTTTTATTTCAAAGCTTGACATTAGAAAACATGCAAAGCAAGTTTTGATAGGGCTAGCATGTGGCATTATTTAAAAAAAAATTATTTTTTGTTTATCAGATATTTGCATATCAAATATGTAAATCCGTTACTAAACCGAAAATAGAACGACGGTAACAGAATGACGGTAGAATTGCAGTACAGGTTACAAATAATGGAAATGAAATGCAAAAAAAAAACCCAAATCAGTTAAATTAAATGGGTCTTATGCAACAAATTATTAATATTGGAAATGTTTCACTACAAAAAATTCTGGATTTTCAACTTTCCATTTCAGAGAGTAATTGTAGGTCAAACGTCATTCAGGAGAGAAAAAACAAAACAAAAATGCCTTATTTTCATGGTGACCTTTGACCCTGTGTGCAAGTACTCATTGTGGTGGTCGTTAATATTCGCACCATGAATTCATTTATATAAGATGATCATATGTTCCAAATATCAATTTGGTGTCTTTACCCCTTCATGTTTAAAAAGCAATTTGAAAAGGGGTATATTTTTCAATTTTTTACAATATCTGTTCGTAAATATGACATCAATAATTTTTATAATATATTAACAGCAATCTGCCTTGAAATGTGCTTATTGCAGGCATGCAGTTCGTTAAGGGATACAGTGTTTAATTAGTAAGACATTGTGCCCCAAAAAATGGCCAAAGTGCAAGAATTGCGCAATAAAATTGAGTCACTATTAATTTCAAATGAGCGTAATATTATCCATGTATTGTCTAGAGCCATGAAACCTTTCATTCTAAGACAACTTTTTGTTCTGATTTCAGTTATGCAGTCTGTCAAAGGGATAAGTTGTTTAATTAGCAAGATATTTTGCCCCAAAAATGGCCCAAGTGCAAGAATTGTGCAATAAAATTGTGTTAGCTACTGATTTCAATATGAGCATAATATTATCCGTGTACTGTCTAAAGCCATAAAACCTTTAATTCTAGGACAACATTTTGTGCTGATTTCAGTTATGCAGTCTGTTAAAGGGATGCATTGTTTAATTAGTAAGATATTTAATTTGCCCCAAAAATGGTCAAAGTGCAAGAATTGCACAATAACAACTATATATTGATATATTTAAATTGAGCATAACATTAACAGTGTACTGATCAGAACCATGAAACCTTATATTCAAATACACATTTGTATGCTTATTTAATTCATGCAGTCTGTTAAGGGATACAGCCTTTGTTAGTAAGATAGATTTAAGATATTTATTTTAAGATCTAGATTTCAATAACTGATAACTGATGTATTCATAACTAAAGCTGTTAAAACAATATTATTTTTAATGAATAGAATTTGTTGTTAATAAACAGCAATTATATTTTATTTTGGAAGCTGAAATTTCCTATTGTTACTTTGAATTGGTATCTATATATTTACTTTCATTTCGGTTGTTCATTTTTTTTGTATAAAGAATAAATTACATTAATGCATTTGATATGCTATTATTTTTTTCTATTTTCTATTATATTATTTGTTTTCTAAAATTCATTTACTATGATTATTACCAAATTCATGAATATAAACCTTTTATCCATCTATCTGTTACCGTACAGTACCGCCACAAACTATTGCAATTTTACCTGCACGCAGGCTTCGTAGATACATTGTAGCCCAATAGAAACAATCTAAGCAAGGCTACGCGAAGCTAACCTACGAAGCAAAAGGTGGTTATTTGTATGTGCAGAAAGAATGCTGTAGCTTACTGGAATACACAATGTATTGCTTGATAATTTGTGAATGACAAGCACGAGTTTAGACTGTTAATTTAAAGTATGGAGCTGTTTTTCAATAAGAAAAATGTACACTTGACTTCATGGGGGTCTCCTCTTCCACTCGCTGTCCACGACAGGAACCTTTTTGTACTGCTGTATTATTTTTTTAATTAATTAGCCTAGCCTAGGCCTAGATCTAGCCTATTTTATATTTACAATTATTTTACCTCTTTCAAATGTCAAAAAATGATGTCCTCAATAACAATACACACATGTGAAAAGATTGTTCAACAAATAATATTTTGTAGTCTTGATTTATTAAGATAAATAATATAAATAAAGGAGAGTTAATGTCCGTTGGTTGTAAAATTAGCGAATGTCACATGGAAAACCCAATGGAAAATAAAACTCAGCAATGTCAGTTCATTTTGTCAACCCCGAAAATCCAGCATCGGACGTCAGAGTTCGCACCAATCAGAAAACAGTAAAGTGTGTTAAAGGTTAACCTTGTGACAAATGTTGAAAAGTGGTGAGCAACAATTACTAAAAAAATGCGGTCTAGCATGATGACTAGCCTTAATTTGGCAAGGTAGTGATTTCTATAGTTCCATTAGTATTGGATCATTTTGCAGGTTCTGCTTCAAATTACAGTAAACAATAAACAACGTGATCGAAATGATAGAAATCGTAATAATTTGTACATGAATCGTCATCAGTATTATTATTTAAAAGAAGAAAATTCCTAACCAGAACAATAATATCAGATCAAAATTCTCAGAATTGGAAAGTTAACCAGTATAATTACTGTCTGCTCTCCTCCTCTATAGTGGAAAAATGTAGGCCGTAGTCTAAATGACATCGAAATTTGAACATACTGAAGGCCCACTAGGTTACATAGCTAGCGAACTAAACAGAGTTTTAAAACATGATAGATCTAATAAGGTAGGAAATAACAAAACAATGAAGTTCTAACATTGTTTATTAGTAAATTGCAACATTGCTCACGTGTTGAAAGCTGGTAAACTATATTTCAATATTGTTTACGCATTGTTTATCAGCCCGACGATCCAGCCTACAATCATTGCAAAGCTAATTAAAATTAGTGGTAGTTACGTTCAAAACATACCTACAAGCAGATTACGAGAGGTTACACGCAGATACATAATTAATACATCTTCATAACTTATCAATATTTCTCATGAAAGCTATTACATTTATTGTTAAAGCCTATACTTTCATTTCAATACCTTAAAAACAACATTGAAACTCTAAATTCACAGACTTTTTATAGTATGTACAATGGTAAATCTTACCATATATATGAAATATGAATATTTTGAAAGCAGGAAGACTAAAAAAAAAAAGCTTGTAAAGTGTTATATAATCATGTGTTATAGAACTGTAAAACTTGTTTTAGTTAATAAATACAGGTGTAGATGTTATACACCTTTGAAAATTGTGTGTGAATGTCAATCCGTTACCGTGGAATTGCCCTGATGGATATAATCGGGCGCTAGGCAGATATAATGATTTATGGATTTTACATCGCGGGCGAGTTAGGCAATTTTTATTACATTCTGAAAAGCACACGAGTTGTAGATACGATTTATATATCACAATGGCTAATCGGACAATGTGACGTCATCATATTGCCATCAGAATTTTTTTTAAATGAATTTTATTTATGACGTCATTATTTTTATACTCATTTGAACATATCTTGCTTATTCTTGATCAATCGTCTCACACCTGTGAGTATGCTATAGCTTTGACAATTTCTTTTTGGAAGTGTCCCTTTATTTTTCATTTTGATGACGTCATCATGGTCAAAATGAATGTTTTTCTAACCCACCTCTTTCACTAATTAAATCTTTGAAGATCCCGAGAGAGAGGGCAGCAGACTTGATATTTTCCTGCAGTTTGAAAATCCTGGTTACAGTATTTTTCCATATTTCACTTTTAAGCTCTGGGAGATTTCTTCTGCCTGACAAGCTGATCACCTAACTCGTCCTTAGTGAGGAGTTAAAATCTATTTTTTTTTTTATTTCACAAAACTAGTATATGAAAGCTTATTTAGGAAAAACATTTAATTATCTTCCAATTGTTATCAAACATAATTTCATTACTCTTATAGACAAAATTTAAATTATTATCACTAAAAAAAACCTTTCTTTTCAAAACATGGGAATGAATGGGTTAAATAATTAGTAATTAGGGCACATAGAAAAAATTATTAGATTATCACTTTTTTTGAAAGAAGTGTCGATGAGGGAGGGCAGTTTTTTTTTTTTTTAAATCGGAACAATAGATTATTTCGCTTCTGTCTTTATTGATGAGGGAGGGACTGTTTATATTTGGCTAGTAATAGTAAATATTGTATAAAAAGTGGTTTAATTTTATAGTTTTTTTTAAAGAAAATGTATTTGTCACAAAATTGGATTGATTATTTTTATGCTGTTTTTTTATTCCCATATCAATATTTCACAAATTTTTGACGTGGGCGAGTGATATTCTAATAAATTGCCCTTAATGTTAGGGCCGGATGCAAAACTGTTTAGCGCTGAAAATTGGTAAAATGCGAGCTTCCTTCCAACTCCTACAGTAGGAACTGGGCTATTCCTTCAAGAGTTTTACAAAAAATTATATGTATTATACGGTATAGAGATTGTAGGTTTTCAATCTCTATACCGATATAATACATATACTGTAATTCTCTCATAGGATGAAATCCGTCAGGTCCTGGACTTTGGTAACATTTAATTTCATATGGTATTTTTCGACAATGAGATGAATTTTTCTGAACTAATACTAAAAACCAGGAATTGTATCCATATTTTCATACACAAAAACAGAGAAAAAAAGGCTATTAATAATTCAGACTTCATTTTATCGTTACGTACGTGACTAGGCCTATATGTGACTATTATTTATTATTTTAGACTTAAACGTAAAACGACAATATCCTTATTGAAAATGGTGTTTTATCCAGCTGTACTGTCTAGGCTAGGCCTACTTCCGCATGTTCTCTAGCGCTAGCTAAGCCTAGGGCGTGGACAAAAACTTCACGCCTCCCAGGTCTTGATTGAATTGAATTTCGTAAACCTGAGAGTTCTCGCCTTTTACCCTGCTTTCAAGCAATAACATTTCTTTTAATTTCAAACTATATATTAATTAGTATAAAAAACATATATCATTAGATTTATAACATAGTGCTTACCATTACAATACAGTGATATTAACGTTTCAAATGACAGGAAAATGAGAGACAACACCAGCTCTAAAAAACTCACCACCGCTGAAAATAGGCGAAAGAATGCATTATACAGTCAGCCAATGAATGACACAGCCAGTATGCTAATTATACAAAAAACGATTGTTAGTTCTCTTTCAAGCTATTGGACAGAATATCCAGGAAGAGACGTTTTCTTTTTATTATAACCAATCAATATGGGTCTTCTATTGGTGTGGCGTCGCGTGTAACAGTGGTGTCATGTCATCATATTACTATTTTTTACCTGAATAAACAGTTTACGTTAACATTAACGTATACATAAAAATAATATATCATATAGTTTAAAGATCATTTGTAAAATGTGCTTATTTTACCATTTTATCAAGTGAAACGACATTTGTGTCACGTGATAAAGTAATGGCGCCAACTGATCACCATATTTGGAAGTCTCACTTAACAGGGAAACACATGTACCATATTAGGGTTGTATTTAACGATGGGGCGTAGTTTACTGTTGACAATCAAGATAGGAATCAGCTTCATGAACACATTGGAAAGGTGAGGGTGGGGGGACCTAACTAGTTAGGTCTACAGAATATTTATTTTTTATTGGAAAAATTAATTCTATATTTTTGGGAGTAGATGCTAACACACGTGTGCTATGTGAAACCTCGTCCTCCAGCCGGCCAAGCATTGTCTAAGAAATAGAATGTTTGTCTATGTAGATCCTTGTCCAAGAATGAGTTCATTAAAATTGATGGAACATCCGCCCTCACGCGAGCGGGGTAAAATATGACTAAGTGGAGAAACTACACGAAACAAACTAGCCTGAGCGACGCCTTTATTATTGATATACATAGCCATGCATTAACTATAGTAATACTTTCTCAGAGTCCACCACTTGGTCATTAATTGTTCACTCTTATCACTGTTTATTTGTACATATATCATTAATCCTTTATAGTATGCCGACTTGCTTTGACTTAATTACCGTATTGTTTCTCAAATTGTATATTACCAAGATACTTTCTCAATATGTTCATTTTATGTCAAGCGTTGACAAAGACTCATACAGGCGTAGCCGAAATATTAGCCAAATACATTTTAATGTTTCTAAAGTCAACATCTTACGTATTTGAGTTTCATTACTGTTACGTTATATTATATTCTACATATGTTTTGAAACACGTGCACACGCCTTCTTCATATATATACTGTATATATATATATATACATATAAATATAAATATAAAGAAAAAATCTCTCAATTTTTGGGAAACAGTGCTCAATGCCACTGTAAAATCTTGGTAGAGCAAATATAATGTAGGTAGACAACGATACGTGTAAGGATTTTATTTTCGATTACTGCAGTATCATGCAATGTGCAATCGTCAGGTCTGAGTTATTGAGCAGAAAGGATGGTATATATATACGTGTTGTGGAATTTACAGCTGGGAGAAAATGTTTTCATTAGGAACAGGTATATTATAAGTGATGGGCGTGAGGTGTGTAGAAAGTGGGCGTGGAAATTAACAGTTCTTGAGCAAGTATTTGTTGCGGTGACGACAGGCGGAGATCATTTTCTCCTTACACGTATCGTTGTCTACCTACATTATATATATACATATATATATATATATATAACATTTTAAATATATATATATATATATATATATTAATTTTAATTTTAAATTGTTTTGCATTATATGGCCGTTTGCTGTTTTATGAGTTTTTCCTATTTGCCTTTCAAACTTACATATTATTAAAAGAATCTCAATTGAGATCCAGCGCCGCCATTGATGCACGGTAGAGATTGCATCTTTAGACCTTTAGACGATTTGTTCACAAATTCACGGATAGTGCTGTCTCGTAAGAATTTCGTAGGACGCGTTAAGAATGACAAAATATTCTCTGTATCTACTGGAACGGAGCCGCATAGGTTGTATTCCACTATTTGCATTCACAGCTGGGCTGTTTGTATATATATTGCCTTGGTTTGGCTCTGTAATCATTAGTGGTCGTGGGAATAGTTTGGGCCCTACCTAAGCTGGTCGAACGTTTCGTTTGGGTCTGTACCCTAGCTGCACTGATGAGGCATGGAAGGCCAAAACGGATCCGTCTGCAGATATTGGGATTCAATTCCAGTGGATGCTATAGTTTATTTTGTCATTCTGATCGGATTTTTTCTACTGTTCCGTTTTAATTTTAAATTGTTTTGCATTATGGCCGTTTGCTGTTTTATGGGTTTTTCCCATTTTCATTTCAAACTTATATGTATTATTAAATAATCTCAATTGAGATCGAGCGCCGTCATTGATGCACGGTAGAGATTGCATCTTTAGATCTCCGATTTGTTCACAAATTCACGGACTAGTGCTGTCTCGTAAGAATTTCGTAGGATGTGTTAAGAATGACAAAATATTCTCTGTATCTACTGGAACCGAGCCGCATAGCTTGTATTCCACTATTTGCATTCACAGCTGGGCAGTTTATTTTGTCATTCTGATCGGATTTTCTCTACTGTTCAGTTTTAATTTTAATTTTAAATTTTTTTGCATTATATGGCCGTTTGCTGTTTTATGGGTTTTTCCCATTTTCCTTTCAAACTTATATATTATTAAATAATCTCAAATTGAGATCAAGCGCCGTCATTGATGCACGGTAGAGATTGCATCTTTAGATCTCCGATTTGTTCACAAATTCACAGACTAGTGCTGTCTCGTAAGAATTTCGTAGGATGCGTTAAGAATGACAAAATATTCTCTGTATCTACTGGAACCGAGCCGCATAGCTTGTATTCCACTATTTGCATTCACAGCTGGGCAGTTTATTTAGTCATTCTGATCGGATTTTCTCTACTGTTCAGTTTTAATTTTAATTTTAAATTTTTTTGCATTATATGGCCGTTTGCTGTTTTATGGGTTTTTCCCATTTTCCTTTCAAACTTATATATTATTAAATAATCTCAAATTGAGATCCAGCGCCGTCATTGGTGCACGGTAGAGATTGCATCTTTAGATCTCCGATTTGTTCACAAATTCACGGACTAGTGCTGTCTCGTAAGAATTTCGTAGGATGCGTTAAAAATGACAAAATATTCTCTGTATCTACTGGAACCGAGCCGCATAGCTTGTATTCCACTATTTGCATTCACACCTGAGCTGTGTGTATATTGCCTTGGTTTGCGTAGTTGGTACTGTGGTACAGTAGTTGGTACGACTGCTTCACAAGCGGCCTACATAGTCACTGGGAAATCTGTGTAATAAATACTGACGTTTACAATTCGTAGCTGTTCAGGTAGATCGGCCTATTACCTAGATTTTTGTGTAAAAAAAAAAATATGGCTAGTGCACGTTCAGGTGATAAACCTGTCATGAACTGGAACAGTTCAAATCTGTCAAAGGAATTTCATAGCTTCAAACAGCACTGTGAATTTACATTTAAAGGGCCCTTGTCCGAAAAAACAGAGATCCAAAAGGTCAACTATCTGGTGACCTATATTGGCGACAAAGGTCGTGAAAATTTATTCAACGTTTAGCTGGAACCCGGCTGTGCCAGCTGCAGGAAATAACCCAGCGCAGCCAGCCGAAAATGATACACTGGAAGGTGTATTCGGGAAATTTGAGGCTTACACCAAGCCTAAACGTAACGAAGTTAGAGCGACTGTTGAGTTTAATACCAGAAGTCAAAAGGCCAATGAAAAATTTGACAACTTCGTTACAGACTTGAGGGTTTTGGTTAAAGCATGTGGGTTTGCGGAAGAAGACAGGATGCTAAGAGATGCTATTGTCTTAAGAGCAAAACATGATCGTGTAAGAGACAAGCTTCTCAAAAGAAAGACCTAATACTTGTCAACGATGTGGTACAAAACATCCATACAGGTCATGTCCAGCATGGGGCACAATATGTAGCAAGTGCCAGGGAAGGAACCACTGGACAAAATGCTGTCGCTCAAAGAAAGTGCATGAGGTGACTGAGACATCAGAACAAGAGGAATTCTTTGTGGATACCTTAACTTCAAAAAATGAGGAGTCCGAATGGATTCTCCCAATGAAAGTTGGCGGTGTAGGTGTCATTCAAGTTGGACACAGGAGCACTAGTAAATATCCTTCCAGCAAGCATCTACAAAAGTTTGACAGTAAAGCCGCAACTTAACAGATCAGAAGTTAAAATACAAGGATATTCTGGAACCGTTATACCAATTGAGGGTAGTTGCTCAATAGAAGTAAAGTATAAGGGAAGGAGCACAAACCTTCCATTTCTGGTGACCAAAGCCAATATGCAATCATCTAAGCAGTATCAGTCTGTTTTGGGTCTGAAGACGTGTCAACAATTGCAGCTAATTAAAACTGTTGGTAGCCTACAAACGTACAGGATAGTGGACAAATACAAAGATGTGTTCTCAGGTCTAGGATGCTTACCAACAGCACACACGATACATGATGACATGTCAGTAGCACCAGTGCAACATGCATGTAGGAAGATTCCATTCAAATTAAGAGAAAAGGTGAAAATGGAGTTGGCACGAATGGAAAAACTTGACGTCATTCAAATGGACCAACTGACTGGTTGAGCAGCTTAGTAACTGTCCAGAAGAAGAATGGCGACATACGGGTATGCCTCGATCCAAGGGATCTTAATCGTGCGATAAAACGGGAATACTTCAAGTTGCCATCACGAGAAGAGATCATGGCAGAGTTCGGAAGAGTAAAAGTGTTCAGCAAGCTAGACGCCTCGTCTGGCTTCGGGCAGATTAAGTTACATGAAGAGAGCTCTAAATTAATCTGCTTTATCACGCCATTTGGCAGGTACATCTATCGCCGCTTACCATTTGGTTTAAACATGTTTAATGAATGAATGAACAAACTTGTTTTCTTAGGTGACCTGATTACTGATGAAGGTATTAGACCAGATCCTAGTAAAGTAAGGACCAAAGGATAAGCAAGCTCTTCAAAGATTTCTGGGAATGGCAAACTTTCTGGCCAAATTTATGCCTGAAATGACAGCCAAGACGGCACCACTACGTCAGCTCCTAGTTGACAAGAATGACTGGGTATGGTTGGAGGCCTAAGAAAGGCTTGGATGAATGTCAAGTCGACTCTGACAACCACCCCAGTGTTAAAATTTTATAATCTGACTCA